ACTTTGAAAGTAAAAGAAAAAATATTTGAAAATCAAGAATGTTTAAAACTTTTCTTTAAATAAGGAGAAAAAAAATTGAGCCAGGATCTCTTTTCTGAGCTGAAGAAATCCTAACATTCTTGATTGTCTTGCCTCAGCCTTCTGAGCACTGTAATTACAGGTGTGTGTCACCATATCTGGATTCACAGATTTTGAGGGTGTCAACAGTATAAACCTTAGAGTTAAAAGTTTATGAAGATCCTAGCTACCTTTTGTAGAGCATCTATATGGTATTTGTTCTTAGGAGGCTCTCTAGGAGGAAGCTAGAGTCTAGAAATCTGATCCGTTCCCATGGCTATCTGATATTCTTGAATATGATGTATACATGCTATGATGTGTATGGATTATTGTTCCTTTAATGCTAGATAATGAGTACAGACTGAATACAGAGCAGGTCAAAGTGACTAACTTTGACCAGCATGACCTCAAAATATTATGGACAACACAGGACTTCCAGAACTGATTCAGAACGGAAACCCTCTTTTGTTACCTTCACAAGCACAAGCACCCATTCACCCTAAATGTCCTCATTCTAGATATTGTCTCCCCAAACACAGTTTTCTGGTTCAGAGACTCTCCTATTTCACTGTGTTATGATAAGAGGCTTGAGACATGCCCAGGATGGAGATACTTTGTTTCTGTTGCTGAAACTTTCCATCTCCATTGTTGCCTGTGTCCAGGGTAGGTATCAAACTGTGTCTTCAATCATATCTTACATATCATACCACTGTCTTTAACCTCACTTGCTTCAGTGAATGGCTACAAAAAGTAAAACAAAAGGATAGCAACCTAATGAAAATTCAACTTATGTTAATGAGACTCATTCAGCCTGCTCAGGGTTGCTGACAAACACAAAGAAGGGCACTGCTACAGCAAACTGTTTGTTTTTTTGGGTTTTTTTTTTTGCCTTTGTATTTTTTTTTTAATTTTAATTTTTATTTTGCAATACAATTCAGTTCTACATATCAGCCATGGATTCCCTTGTTCTCCCCCCCTGGGACCCCTCACCTTCCCCCCAGCCCACCCCCCATTCCCACCTCCTCCAGGGCAAAGCCTCCCCAGCGGGAATGAGGAGGGTTTATATGAGCGAGAATTGTTGAGACCAAGGTTGGATAAAGCACAGGGACAAATAGCCAAATGAATGGAAACACATGAACTATGAACCAATGCCTGAGGGGTCACCAACTGGATCAGGCCCTCTGAATGGGTGAGACAGTTGATTGGCTTGATCTGTTTGGGAAACTGTTTGTTTTTAACCCTATATGCCACAGTAGCCCTGCCTGGCAAATTCTCCCTCCTGTTTCCTGCCACTTTAAGCCTCCAGCTCCAGAATCTCCAATGTCTCTGATACTCTGGTGCCTTTTCCTTTTAGTAGATAATGTCACCTCCCAAAAGGCAACACATTTGATAACTGTGGCCTTCGTTCCCTAACACCAGTAAACCCACACCGCACAAGAACTTGCTTCTCTCCTCACTTTTCTTTTGGATTTCTGGAGAACTACTCCCATCTACCTTAAGGTCAATAATGCCTGGTACTTCTGCATTCAGTTCTCTGCCTTTATTTTCGTACTTGAAATTGATCATTACTCAACACTATTTTGCTTTATCTTCAACTCTCTCTCTTAAATGGCTTTATCTCTTAGTATTCAAATATGCTTAATTTATTTACATTCTAAATATGCTCCTCTATATCCTCTCAAAACTATATAGTTTCTGCACAAACATGTTAACTTTTCACCTTTCATTTCTTTTCTATAGTTTCTCTTTACATATCTGGCATTACCATCCACTGAGATAAGTCTGTCAGTAACAACTGTTTCGCGTGTTTATGTACTATGCATGTCTCTGGGATGCTCACTTACTAACACTTGTAGTTTTGGTCAGCTGAACCTCACTATAGAAATCCACCTGAAAGGATGATTCCAGGAAACCCAAATCATAGGCACCAATGTAACACTGATAGGTAAGATAATAACTAGGCAAATACGGTTTATGTAACCATAAATGTATGTCTATATTCAATATGAAATTACTATATTACTACATTCTAGAAATAGGTAAGACTTCATTAACCCAAGTAAGGCTAAAATTAAAAATGCATTTTGCAGCAATATGTTGAAAATGATTCAAAGATGTCTACTATTATTATTTCCAGTCATCGCTGAACTGAGGTCCCAAGTACACTAACACAAGAAAAAAAATAATAGCTTTAAAACTATAAAAAAGAGGTAACAACTATTATTAAATGCGTATGATAGGACAATCTGGAGGAAGTGAACAAGAATCTACAAGTGATTTAAGAATTAAAAAGCTGAACAAGAAAGGTGGATATAAAACTCAATTGAAATATCGCTGTGATTTTAATGGGTTAGCAATACACAGAGAAAGAAATTTAAAATGCATAATTTTCTAGTTCTAGAATATAAATTAAATGGCAACTTTCTCAAATAAATTCCCAAAATATTTCTAAATGATATTAAGAATATATCATAAAGTTACATTAAGGGAAGAAGGTACAAATGACTGTATATCACATTGTCCGTTTCCGTGTACATAAACTTTCAGACTAAGCATAATGTCTCTGTCATAAGAATGGAAGTGAGGATGAGGCCATGTTCTGGGTAACAAAAATGCCCTGTAACTCCATCTAGGAGGAGATCACACTGGTAAATACAATTATGAAAATGCATAATACAAATACACTTAATATTGTGGGACAATTGAATTTAAATCATATTTGAAAACAACTGCAAACATAATAGCACTTGAAGAATGGAATTTCTTATACCACATATTCAAAAAAGTTAGTTGTGTGTCAAAAGACTTGAGCAAGAAAGGCAGAACCATACAAACCTTTGCAAGATACCGGACTGATCCATGACTAGAGTACAGAATGATGTTTGAATAAGAATAAACATCAACAACCATAGAAAAATATTCATAACAAGCAAATTTAAATATGCTAAGAATGTTATGAAAACCAAATCCTCAGGGAAGAAAGTAATTCTTGTAATTTAATTAAGTAGTAAAGGACAAATCTTTGGTGTGTTCAAATGTATCTTCATACATTTCCAAGTATCATTTCTAAAAAACAAATGACATCTTTACCTTCCCAAAGAGATAACAGGCAGAGAAAAAAACAACAAAACTTAAAAGAGACATGGAGTAAAAGAGAAAGAGAGATGCCTATAATAGGAAGCAGAATGTTTTATAGTCAGAGAATTTAAACTGAGATCATGAAGATATATGACTATCTCAAGAAATTAACAGAAGTTTAGAAGTCTGACAAATCAGGATGTGGTTGGGTCATGTGGCATCAAGAACTTACTTTACACTAGTGGGGAAAGTAAAAATTGGTACATTTCAATAAAGGGGTTTGATTCTATACAGGAATATCTAAGGCATGCATTTGTATATTGTAATTCTACTCTTTCACACACAAAAAATTTATGCACAAGTACAATCAATAAATATGTGTAAGAACATTACAACTGCCTTACTGATAGCAGTCTAAAATGGAAACAATGTAATAAATTCTGGCACATTAACATAATGGAAAAATGCAACAATACAGATTAATGAATTTCTACTACATGATCCAGCAAGGATGGATTAAGACAAACAAGAAAGAATTCTAGAATCTAGAAAGATAATATGCAAAACTCAATACAAGTCTGAATACTGGCAAATTTTACTTCCTAAGGTGATAAAGTAGGTTAAAATATAACCCTGTGGTCACATTAAATTCAGACTAATGGTTCCACTCCTGTGATCAGGCTTGCCGTCTCGGGAGCACTTGATGGTGTTTCCTGGGCATGCTTTTCTTTTTGACCACAGCAGGCATGGTTTCCTTTTCAACAGTTCACTATAGTATTCTGTGTTTACGCCATTTTCTGTATGTTAGAATTTTCCACTAGCAAACAAAGATTAAAGTGTACCCAGATAGTTTAACTCAACCTAAATTTACTGAGGACTTAATTCCAGCAATAACAATGCCTTACTTGATTGTTTGCCTGACACATGTCAACACAGGAAAGAAGTGTGTCCAGAACCAGACATTCTCAACACTGTCAACCTCAGACAACAAGACCAGTATACTTACCAGTTCTGTATACAAATTACCCATCAGTTTTTCCCTACAAAAATGTGTAAAAATGGCAAGTTCAAAGTACAAAATGAGTCATTTCTCCAAAAGACTTTTGTATTTCTCCTTTCAAGAGCAAAAATCATGGTATTCTGTCAAAAAACCAAGCATATTGGTGCTTACCTGCCTCATTCTGTGATCTGCAAAATTTACTAAGGATCATTTCCTGTAAGTATCATCTCCTGACTACAGGCCACACACAATATTCTACTATAATGCCACTTTCTAAAGCTGACTTTCAATATTACCATATTAAACTTGTCGAAATATTTATTCTGATTTTGTGCACATTACAAACTAAAAATCAAACAGCTGTACTTTGTCTAAATGTTGAATTTAGCATTTTATAAAAGCATTATTATAGTGAGTAAAATGTGACACCATTTACCTGGGAAAGTACTATGCTATTTTTCCTTCTTTTTATTATTATTATTATTATTATTATTATTATTATTATTATTGGTTTTTCGAGACAGGGTTTCTCCAGTAGTCCTGACTGACCTAGAACTCACTCTGAAGACCAGGCTGGCCTCAAACTCGCAGAGATCCACCTGCCTCTGCCTCCCAAGTGTTGGGATTAAAGTCTTGTGCCACCACCACCTGGCCTTTTATATCATTCTAAAGTATGAATCTAATTAATTGTTCCATACTTCTTATGCATCTAAAAGTATTCCAAGTCCCTGACATTCCTAATTTCCTCTCACATTCTCTTTTGGAACACATTCCCTTTAATGATACTGTGATCACACTGCAGAAAATTATATGGCAAAACCACAATAGTAAAGAGAAAAAAAAATTATAACAAGTCTAGGCTTACTTTACGGACACCTCTGCCAAGTTCTTCTCCATAGTTGGTTCCAAGAATTTCGAAGTGCACATTGGGGTTACCTCCATTTTCTCCAAATTCTAGCTCTCCAGTCAATCCATTAACTCCACCCTAGATGAGGGAAATAGACACTTATTTAAAAGTTCAGAAGAACCAAGCTATTTATAATAAAGGATAAAAATAAGTTATAAACACTCTATTTGTATTTATAAAAAAGTTTTGAAGTATATGCCTATTAACAGACTAATTTCAGTAGATGTACAACATACCCAGGAATTCCATTGAATGTCACCTTAGAAGTGGTTTAATTCAATCTTGTCAACTTGCCACAAAAATTGATTTATGCCCTAAGAGCCAGTGACTGCTCCAAATAGTCCTGATTAGAACTGAGAGTTAATTCCACCATGAAGATGTGGCCACCACACTTTGTGATGCACAGGAGTGTGTCACCGGAATACAGCAAGCTTCAGGAAACTCAGAGAAGCTACTACAGAGACAATTCCACTAAAATTTAATCTAAAATTATTTCTAGGAATTTTAAATTTTAAAATATTAGTTTATTTTTTTCCTGTGAATTTATTTTCCAAATTATAATAATAGACTATATTATTTCCAAAAGAACAAGGAAAGGATCTTGAATTATTTCATAAGAAATATGGTGTTAGCCTGATTTATATATTAAACAATGTGTGTAAATCTATAAATATATCTCAAAATACCATGGGTATCATGTTATGTTTTTGTCTAACAGTTATGAAAATATATTTAATAAACATGACAAATTATAAATTTATATAAACAAAGGTAACTTGGGCTTGGAAATGGTTTGTGCTCTCAATTGGCTTTGCTGGTGTTGAGACTCTAGGAACTTTCAGACTTCATTGTTCATTCAGCTTGACAGATGTGCACTTCATCTGTAGATGGCCATGTGGGTCACACCTGCCTCTTGCTTAAAACTATTCCTCATTTTGGTCTATCGACCTTGACATTACTCAGGATTTTCCACTCACCGTGGTGTTCACAGTCACTTCACCATTAGTGTATGCTCTAGGTAGAGTTTTGACTGTGCAATGACATTTATTTTGACAACAAATCATCTCAGCTTGTGAAACGCTCTAGTTATCACCTCTGTGGTGGTGATGCCTAAACGTGTAACCCTTGTCTTAACCTGTAGCGCCGTTTTAATCCTTCTTGGCTAGTTTCACACAGTCTGCTCTATCTTACACTTCATCTCTGCTTTTCAGACGCTCCCAGAATGCTCACTTCATAGACCAGGTTCAGAGAACTGTTGCTGACTCACTGTGTTTCCAATCTTTCTTATGAATTTCAATAATTAATCTATTTCATTTTTATAGCAGTATAATTAACAAAACAGGTTTTATTTTTTAATCAGTACTTTGTTGATTCAGACAGGAACTAAAATGATCTAGTTTTATCAAGGATGAATCTGTTGAATTTGATATGCCTGTGGTCTTTTCTTTTTACATGAGTTAGCAGTAACAAGTATAGGACTTCACCAATGGCAGAGGACTATAACAGCTATGCAGAAACTAATCAATTAGCTTCTCTGTCTCAATTTCTATATCTCTTAATTGGACAATGAAGCACTTATCTAAGAGCATTATTAGTGCTATTCCTATGTTATACATGTAAGCAATGCAGAGGAGTTCTTCCTGTGCTGAGAGCTCAGCCTCAATCGTTAGCACCACTAGCCCAGTGTTTTTCCAGCCCTTATTTTCAGCGACTTTCTAATTCTATAAAACACAGGCATGAGCTTGCCTTATTGTCAGTTAAAAGCTTATTGAGTTTTTAAGATCCATTTCATTTATATGACTCTGTGTGGGCATGAGCGTATAGTATGAGTGTGTTTTTGTACATGTGTGTAAAGGCTACAAGTAGATGTCAGGAGTCCTTGGAGATAGAATTTGTGGGTCCAAAGTGGGAATAATAGTATGAGGAGTTATGAGGTATGCTCCATACCCTCTATCATTTGCCTGTGTCTCTTGCTTGCTTCTATCTTTACATAGAGAATATATTCAATTGGTGCAATTCAATTTTACACCATGTTTTAGGTCAGTATTCATATCATAAAACATCCAATATCCCTTACTCTTTTAAATAACGAATAAATGGAATGGATCTCATTATCACTAACATCTCCAAGTTAGAAATATATGTATGAATGCAGCATACATCATTACACATAAATTCCAATTAATATCATTTTAAATTTCCTTTTAAAAGGAACTTGTTATATTTATTTATTTATTTATCCATTGTTATTCATAGGACACATGTCATACTGCATGTTTGGATAACAAAGGGTGACTTGATATCTCTCTTCTTCTACCACATGAGATCCAGAAACTGAACTCAGGTCATCAAGCTTGTGGCTAGGCATTAAAACATCCCACTGGCCCATAGAATCTTCTCGATAAGAGATTTTGTTGCCAGGACTGGTGGCACACATCTCATGCCAGTACCTGGGAGGCAACTGCAGGCAGATCTATGTGAGTTAGAGGCCAGCATGGTTTGCACAGTGAGTTCCAGTCCAGCCACAGCTACATAGTGAGACCCTGTCTCAAAGGAACAGCAAGAAGCATTTGTTCTTAACCTTCCTCAACACTGTCTTAACTGCATGAAAATTCTAGCTGATTGCCTTACTTCTAAAAAGAGGGGGTGGGGTGGGGTGGGGCAGGATTGTGTGTCCTTCTGATTGCTCTATGGAAAACTCTAACAGCAGAAAGTTGTAAACATCCAGTCAGTCTTTTACTGCCTTATTCTTCCCAGTCAGTATGCTATGGCTGTGCAGGGCCAGGTCCTCCTCTGCAGGGAGCAGCTTCCACTGTGTGACTCAGTGCATTTACAGAAAACAAGCACAAAATCCATAAATCAGAAGTTGTGCACTTAGCTAACTGCGGCCTTACCTAGCTCACCTTTTTGACTTTGTAATTTATCTTCTTTTTGCTCTATCATTAATGAGCTTTTGACATGCATAATGAGAGGATTCTGCCCTCAGGAAGGTGTCCAGGATGCTCAAGAGGTCAACATTCTAAGCAAATAAGCCCTTTAAACAACATCCTTTGTTATCTCAGCCAGATTTAACCTGGTTTTTTTTTTTTAATGTTTTAAAAGATTCCAGTGTTGTTGAGCTGTTTTTCATCTATCTTCTGATTAACCTTGAAAATAGAGCTTGGCAAAGCACTCTGACTGGGGTGATGAATGGTCATTATCTGTGTGTATGCATGCTTGTATTTATAAAATTCATTGTGATACAGCAGATTCTAAACAACATAAGCTAATGGTTCATTGATAAATCAAACATTGAGGTAGCATCCTATCTGTCCTTTACACTGCCTGTCAGAACTGCTGCTCAAGGAATCTTAAAAAATACTGAATATGATATGCCACTTTAGATTTTATCCTACATACATAATAAAGAAATATGGGCAACACATAAGGAACAATAAGAAGAAAAAGGAAAGAAAACTAAAAAGTGAGAATCAAATCTTGAGAAACATCATCACAAAATTTGAATAACAAATTGGATAATAAATTTCTAAATAGACCAAAGCCTCTTGTTCCCCTGTGGCTGAGAAAAAACAGGGAAAAAGATTAAGAAAATGATTACTTAGATTGACTAAAGTTTGGTTTGTTTATGGGCCTAAAAATCCCCAACAGAGGGAAAATATTACATTTTCTTCAGTGCTGGATTATTTAATGTTAACTTGACACAAGCTAATGTCATTTGAGAGGAGGGAGCCTCAGCTGAAAAAATGCCTTCATAAATCAGGCTGTAGGTAAGGCGGTAAGGCATTTTCTTAATTAGCAATTTCTGTGGGAGGGTCCAACCCATTGTGGGTGGTGACACTCCTGGGCTGGTGGTCCTGGGTTCTATAAGAAAGCAGGCTGAGCAGGCCATGAGAAGCAAGTCAATAAGCAGCATCCTTCCATGACCTTTACATCACCTCCTGCCTCCAGGTTTCTGCCCTGTTTGGGTTCTTGTCCTGGCTTCCTTCAATGATGAACAGTGATATGGAACTGTAAACCAAATAAACCCTTCCTCTCCAAGTTGCTTTGGTCATTGTGTTTCATCATAGATATAGTAACCCATAGTAAGACAGTGATGCATGGCTAAACATCATCAGAAATGGGAAAGTTTAGAAATAGAAACATAAACCAGTGAATTCATTCACAGAAAAGACTTGTAGTAGACAGATGATGGTGTCTGTGCTTTAAAGGAAACAACCACAGCTCATGCATTGAGGAGCTCAAACTGATAAAGGTTCCTGTCCTTTCTAGTTTTCATTCTAAACTATGCATGCATACTCTTTGCTTTATACAGCATGTGTCCATTAAAATGAATTGCTCAAAAATAAATATTTGAACAAAATTAAATTCAAATTGACTGTTACCTGCTTTATAAGTAAAATTGACTGAAGTTGGAATGTAAATTGGTGAATTCTGGAGTCTTTTTCAAAGGGTATAAATGGTATTTGCTTATATGTGTTCATGCACACACTCACTTGCACTCTCTGGCCCATGCTTGTGCATACGGAGAGCAAAGAATATGCTGAGTCTTCCTCAATCCATCTCCTGCACGTTTTTGAAGCAGAGTCTTTTAGTTAACCTGGAGCTTGCCAACTCTGCTACAAAAAGCCCTATGGATCTTTTTGTCTCTGCTTCTCAAGAGTTGTGGCTACAGAAGAAAGTCGCTATGTTTGGCTTTTAATGTGAGTGCTGGGGATCTGAATTCAGATATTCATGCTTGCATGGCACGTACCTTCCCCATTGGGCAATCTTTCTGGTCCATAAATAGCAGTTTTGAAAACTACCATGGCAAAACTTTGTGTCTTTGTGAAAAAGGTATTTTACAGTTCAAGTAGTATTCATGTATATGATGTCTTCCTAAATTTTCTTTCCCTCCTTCAAATATGTACAAACTCAATGATAGATTGTCCTTACATTGAAAGTAATTTCTGTCTGTTTCTCTAAGGATTTACATTTCAAAAGATTGCAAACAAAATGACCTATATATCATCTTGCCCATGGCATAAACCTGGAAATCATCTATGATTCCTCTTTCTCACTACTTTTCTCACTCTCCAAAT